GTGAGCAGCAGCTCATTTGCATTTAAAGAGACAGGCCCGAAAAACAGCGTGTTTCTGCTTCCACTCAAAATAGGCATTTTCAAAATTATATAATAAATCATCTGTGGAGTATTTTCAGCTGAAACTTCACAGACACATTCTGGGGACACCAGAGACTTATATTACATATTGTAAAAAGGGGCATAATATGTCTCCTTTAATATTTTTGAGGAAACCATGATTTTGTTTTCCATCTTTGATGAATAAAAAGTTAGAAACAACAGCATTTTTTGAAGCAGGAATCTTTTGTAACATTATAAATGTCTTTACTGCCAATTTTACTGCCAAAAAAAAAAACCTGAAACCTAACTTTTGAATGGTGTATGTCAGATGTGTTACAGAAATGTTGATGAGATAAGAGAACAGTGAGCAAAATCTTAGATTACAAAAACGTATTTTATATTTTAGTTATACTTAAAACAGCTTTTGCTATACAGGTTCATTTAAATCTTTGTAGCAGACTGTACAGCTTGACTGGTGATGAATGATTTAACTACTTTGTCAAAAAGCAGAATTAAATGAGTTCAAAATCAGTTCTGCGTATCAGACACTTAAACAAAAAATGATTTGGTATGGTTGTATATCAGTCGTATTAAATCAATATTGACCAGTTTTCAGTACTAAATGATAGGATACTTTTATAAATGGTATTTACACCATGGAATTGGTCCAAAATCATGTTTTTTGTTTTTGGTTTGAATCACTCTTTATATAAACATCTTGTATTTTAATCTAGTTCTGAAGAGTGTCCCAAAACTGTCTTTCCCGTCTGTACTTTTGGAGCTTTAATAGATTCCATTTTTATTCTACTGCACACTCTGTATATATAAATAATATAACAACTTTTCATGTTTCTCTCTCCCCCATTCTCTTTCTCATCCCTTCCCTCTCATCATCTTCTTTCGTCCTCTTTTCTTGGTGTTCGGTTTGTCTCTTGTTTTTAGCGGAGAACTTGTGTTTCTGGCAGGCCTGTGAGGATGTTCGTCACGGCGAGACCTCAAAAATTCCAGAGAAAGTGGATGAGGTTTACAAGTATGACCTTAATAATTTATCCATGTTACAATGGTAAAGACATTTATGTGTTACAAAATATTTATATTTTAAATGCTGTTCTTTTGAACTTTCTCTTCATCAAAAAATCCTGAAAAAAAAAAAAAAAGGTTTTCACAAAAATATTAGCTTTGCCATCACAGGAATAATTTACATTTTAAAATATATTCCAGTCTATATTTCATACTGACCCGTGGCCTCCACAGAAGAATATGCCATTCTCTGTCATTTTTAATCAGTGTGCCATATGAATGAAAGTCTTTCATCACCTCTAGTTTGTCTCTTATTCATGTGATTTTGTATATCAGGCAGTTCCTGGCTCCTGGTGCGAGTCGCTGGGTGAATATTGACAGCAAAACCATGGAAAAGACCCTGGAAGGACTCAAGCGCCCTCATCGTTTTGTCTTGGATGATGCTCAAATGCACATTTACTTCCTCATGAAAAAGGTATAATGTTCAACTCTTTGATCAAATGCAAAATATGCATGAATATATAGTACACTACAGTTCAAAAGATTTGGAAAGAAGTTTCTTACGCTCACCGAGGCTACATTTAGTTGATCAAAAATATAGTCAAAACAGTAATATTGTGAAATATTATTTCAATTTAAAATGTTACTGTTTTCTATTTGAATATATTTTAATGCAATTCATTTTTGTGAAAGCAAAGCTGAATTTTCAGCAGCCATTACTTCAGTCTTCAGTGTCGCATGATCCTTCAGAAAGCATTATAGAAACATTTCTTATCAATGTTGAAAACAGTTTTATTCTGTCACTTTTGATCAAATTAATATGTCCTTACTGAAAGTAAGTAAATGAACTAGATTTAGAAGTAGTGTAAATGAACTAGACTAGACAAGTGATTACTGAGGTGTAAATGAATATGGATCATCCAAAACCTAAAATGGTTTGAATATTCTTGCCAATGTTGAACAGACATCATTTGTTTTTTGCAGGATTCATACCCTCGTTATCTCAAATCTGATCTCTACAAGAACTTATTATCCAGAGCCATAGTACCACAGGAGACCAAGAAAAGGTAAGACGCATAAAACCAGTATTGATCAGTCCGCAGAGGAAGAGACGTCTTATCAGTGTGTTTCTGTGTGTATGTCCAGTGTGTTCCCGTTCATGCGTCGCCAGCGTCACTCCAGCCCCTCACCTGCCCTCACCACCCAAGCTGCAGAGGATGATGGGAAGGCAAAGAACTCTTTCAAAAGCAATTCTGGAACTGCATCCCGGCTTTAAACATGCACACAACATGTACTTTTTATTTGTATTTTGTGCTACCTTATGATACCTAACACAGTTGTAAATGGATCTGCATTGCTTCCTGTTGTGCTTTACAGATGTTTTAGAGTATAACAAAAGGTCATTATGTAATAAGAATGCTTGATTCCTCTGTTCACATTTCTCTGTATCGTATCACGCAGGAATACAGCTTTTCGTGCGTTTCAAAGATACAATGTATTTATAGCAATAATGCGATCAGACATAAGCACAATCTCACTAACTTTCAGCTGATACCTGAAGTGACATGATGGGACATCTGTAGTAAATGTGTAAAACTATATAATAAATTATTGGTAACTTGACATAAAAAGGCTAACCTTAATCTGTATCTGGTAAATAATCCTGAGTAAAGGAATTTGTCAGTAGAAGTATTCAAAAGATACAGGTTTACATAGAAAACCCATTAGATTTAATGTTAATCACTCTAAAAGAAGGAAATGCCTTAAACTTTGACATACATATGTAGTGTTACAGAAGTCTTTTATAGCTCAGCAAGGCTGCATTTAATTATATATATATATATATGTATAGGTAAAACGGCAATAATGCAAAAAGTTATTACAATTTAAAATAACAGTTTTCTACATTAATGTATTTTAAAATATAAGTTTCTGTGATGCAAAGCTGAATTTTCAGCAGGTATTACTCCGGTCTCAAGTGTCACATGATTAATCAGAAATCATTCTAATATGCTGATTGTAAAAAAAAAAACTGACCCCAAACTTTTGACCGGCATTGTATGTCTGTTTTTAATATTTTATTTTCAAGATTACGATTTTTATGATGTTATTGCACAGCATTAGCTAATTAGATGATAATGTTTAACATAAACTATAAAGTTTAACTACAATACTAAACCTTGTTCTAATGAAGTTGTTTGTGAAAAGTGAAAAAAAAAATTAAGTAACCAAGTAGCCTGTTTTAAATAATCATTGAATTATTTCTCCATTTATTGGCATACAGATTACAGAACATTTTAAGAAAAAGAGGCAGAAATCAAGAGCACAAATTTAAAAAACAACAACAAAGAAACTTTAACATGTACCTTCATCAATATAAACATATTCTCTGTAATTGCATTGCCTCATTCTCAACCCCAAACACAAGTGTATATTTGTGCATTTTACAAGGCCTACCAATGAACACAAACAAGAACAAGGATTGTCATGATAACCAATATTAAACCCAAACTAAATCCTATAAGAAAGAAGAATAGGTTTTGGGATTCACAGATTTACAAATGGAACTATTAGCAAATATCTTTGTTTAGCTCATATTTTGTTTCAATGTCATTTGAAATTCCAATACAAAATGAATGTAAAACATTGTAAAACATATCTGTATCAAATTCCAACCCTAATTTTACACTTTACCTCCTCTGGAAAAACAAGAGATGAATCACCTTGCTGTTACAGTTAAATGGAAAACCACAAAACTGATTTACATACATTTGAGTTTTAAAGGACAGTTGCAATGTGCATTTAAACCTAAATGCCTCTTCAAGTTTAAACTGGCCTGAGGGTTCAGAAGTACAGTATAATGCATATCTATGTAAAGCTTTGACCAATGCAGAGGTTCATCTTAAATACATCAGGTCATCTTATGCCAGATACCCATTACAAACAAACACATCTTTAGCCTATTAAGGAGACTCAGCCATTCATACTTGAATACAAGTGCAATACAAGTGCAATTTCACATACTGGCTCAAGCAAGCACAATTTTAAAATGTTCTTCCCCTTGGAAAAGTAAGAGCAACATCTCAAGAAAAATACCAAGGCTTTTAGGGAGGAAGAAGGGAGGTATTTTCTTGTACATTCCTGACAGTGGTGTAAATAATAGTGTAAAACAATTTTGGCTATTAAACGAGGAACGGTTGTACCTGTTCTCCAGTGTAAGCAAGCAAACAATAGTTCAGAGACACAGAAAACAGTCCTTTCTGGTAATGAAAATGCCCAACATGATTCTTAATGTAATAAGCAGGTCCACAAGGAATCTGCAATTATTTTGTTACTTTTCTGTGCTGATTTTTGAAAGACGATCTCTGGAATTTAAAGGAATATTTCACCTTGAAAATCTAAATTCTGTCATCATTTAGACAGTTTTTTTTTTTTCTGCAGAAACAATCCAAGTTCTGTGGGTGCAGATTCAATGTGGCGCTACTCATAAATCAACTGATAAAAGTTCTGTATAAACCTAGAAATCAATAGCGCTTTTTCTCAAATTAGATTATAAAAAAAACAAATTTTTTGTCCTCAAAGAACTTGACAAATGCAGTGTATTTATCTGATAAATTAATTTCGATAGAAACTGAACCTCACAAAAGTGCTTAATGGAGTAAACTGGGTCAAATGACATAAGTTGCCTTTCGTTTATATTATTAATTTACATATTTTATAGACATTGCTGTTCTCTGTGAAATCACTCATTTGAAAAGTTTAAAAGTGTAAAAGTATCCAGTTTAAAGGAATAGTTCATTCAAAAATGAAAATTATGGCATTATTTACTCACCCTCATGCCATTCAAACCTGTATGCAGTTATTTTTTTCAATGAAATACAAAAGGAGAAGAAGTGTTTATGACTTGTGCACTATATTCCAAGTCTTCTGAAGTCTTTGTGAGAAACAGAAAATAAGTCACTAATAGTCTTCCCTTGACTGCTGTGGTCTCTATGAACTCTGAAGAATCTCCTATTGTGTTCCCTTGATTTGGTTTATGGATTTAGAATGACAGTAAAAAATTCATTTTTAGGTAAACTATTCCTAGAAAGAAGTTATTAATGTGCCTACAGCCATACTGGCGACTGCAGAGGAGAATCTTTCAGATAAAGCTTGACGTGTTAACCAATAACATTTGTAAAACTGTAAAAATCCGTGAAAATCCAGTTTGTGCAAATATCAATAGCAGTGTATTTAGGTGGCAGTGTAATGCTCTACTTTCTCATTTTTACATCTCCTGTAGCTACAGATTTTGTTCGTCCAGCCCCAGGGGGGAACGTGTTTTTCACGGGGTGGTAAGAGGAAGACCACGCTCGTGGCCACCATGACATGCCATATGGAATGAGTGTAGTAGTAGTTGCTGTCGGTCTGAGCAAAGACATACACACACAGTCCAATCAATGCAGATACGATGCCCGGAAGCAGGAACAGCACCCAGCGACGCCACAACGGAGGGTAACACTGATGCCGTTTCACACCTCGATAAACCTGTCGGGTACCACAAGAGAACAGAATGGGAAATATTTCAAAGCTGCTCATCATTACATTAAGATGTATTGTCAACATTATTTTAAAGTTGAATGTAATTTCCCCTGTGTAAAACAAAAATGAAGAAAAACCTTTAATTCAAAGTGCGGAAAAGTTTTTTTTTTTAATCTATCATCAGTTTTTGAAAGAAGTCTCTTATGCTCACCAAGGAAGAATTTATTTGATTAAAATACAATAAAAACTGTAATATTGTGAAATATTATTATGGTTTTAAATCATTTTAAAATCTGAATTTTCAGCAGCCATTACTCTAGTCTTCAGTGCCACTTGATCCTTCGGAAATCATTTTAATATGCTGACTGGTGTTCAAGAATCATTTCTTATTATAACAGTTGAATAAATTTGTGCTGCTTAATATTTTTGTGAAAACCAAGGTTTTTTTTTTTTTTTGACTTTGTAATATTACAAACATCTTTGCTGTTACTTTTGATCAATGTAATGCATATCTGCTGAATAAACAACCCCATTTCTCTACAAATATTTTTCTGACCCCAAAACTTAAAAAAAAAAAATATATACAAATAAATAAAATAAAAAAAATTCTAGTCTGACTCAATATCAACAAAACAATCTAAGAATACATTATGTTTTGGAGTAATGGAAAAGTCAAGCTCACCCAGGAAGTGACCATAATGACCAAAGCAAACAGAATAGGTCCTAGAAGGTTCCACAGCCCCCTGCGGTCCAACTGCATCGCCATAGAAATGATGAGAGTGCCCACCATAAACAATAACTGCAACGTAAGAACAACATAAGCTATTAAAACTGACATGCAAAACATAACTTAACTTTAAGTAAATAATTACTCGTTAAAGCATTGTGCATATGCATGTAAAGGGGTCATATAATGAAAAATCAACATTTCTTTTAAAAAAAAAAAATTCATTGTAATATATAAATAGTTTCAGAACCAAAACCTTCCTTCCCAGTCTAAAAAACACAATCTACTGAAACTATTCTGCAGAAACTGATTAAAATCTGAAATCAGAAGCACGCGAATATTAACAATAGACGGCCCACATTCTATTCACTCTAAGAAACACTTAATAGTTTGAGGGCATTTACTGAAGTCTGATATTTCACCCTAAAGGTGAAGAGAAAGCCAAAATTGACATGAAAAAATAACCCCCTTGAATAAAAGGAGGGGAGGGATATTTAATATTTGATATGACCCTTTTTTCAAAAATAAAAAAGTTTCATGATTATTGATCTGTTAACAACTTATTCTTCTAATTTATACATATAATAACATGATTATAAAGTTATACATAATAAAAAATAATATTTTACTGGCTTGTGGTTGTTTCAAAGTAACAATGTACTTATCTCAACATTTCCTTTAAAAAACAGGTAGGTATAGTTAAACATGTTGTGCTATTTAAAGCTCATTACATACATATTTTACAGGATCCTGGAGCCGTGCCATGCACACAATGGTCACCCACACGGACACAACAGAACCCAAGAAATCACAGAACTGGAGAGTGTCGTAGTCCATGATACACATCACAGTCACACCGGGCTGGTCACACGCATGATAAAACTGCAAAAAACACATCTTTATGACTACAATATACACAACGTGATAGACAGACAGACAGACAGTATTTGTGTTAATTAAGTATTTGTGTTTATGTTAATTGTAACATAAAAACACACCGTGGAGAAAAACATGTTAAAGAAGTAGATGGCGGCCTCAATGTGGTAGCCTCTGTAAAGTGCTATGACGATGGGTGGGATGAAGAAAAAGTTACTGAAGGTGAGGAGCAGAGCTGCAGCCAGCTGCCGAGAGTATGACTGCGCAGTGGCTCCATCCGTACAGCCCCATCCCTGCCAACCTTTCAACGGCAAACAACACAAAAAAATGCCACAACTCAATACCATTAATTATTAATACTTTATGGCCAGTTTTTGGTGTGTATGTGTGTGTTTGTCTACCTGCTTTGCACACACATGCGCCATAGAGGTAGCTGTGCGTGCGTAGCAGTCTGCACTCTCCATACGGCCCACAGTCATCAATGCATGCACTCACACTCACTGACACATTCACTATGGCTGATGCATTCCTGCAGTCAACACTGGGAAGACAACACAGGAGCAAAAGTAGAAAATGCTTTAAAGTCATCTTAACATTAAAACTGATGCCATTTACTTTCATACACGTTCCTGGACCTATTTTGCACAATTCATCAGTGCACATTATTCCAAAGAAAAAAGGTTTGTCTTATAGTTGTCCACTTTTAATGATCTAATCAATTCTAGGTTGTAAAAAAAACCAACAGGAATGTCTGTAGTCATATAATATAAATGTATAGGACGGGTCTATCTTACTCTGTGAGCTAGTAGCGCATTGCAATCGCACAACTGACCTGTCATTGCACACGGTCTGGAGGCTGAGGTACCACACTGCTGCATCTGGGAATGGAATCCTCAACAGTGCCTGTGATTCATTGCTGCTCACGCTCAGCGAATAACCCTGCATAAGCCCTACACGCACACATATACACAGAGAGCTTCAAATGTGACATGCAGGAAAACATGTATTGCACACATTTTTATTTGTGACTAACCTGTAGCACAAGTCTGGCTGCGGTTGAGGTGAAGTAAAGGAGCAGTAGGTGTGAGACATGCTTTGACATGAGCAAATCCACCAACCAGAGAACTCTATGTCACAAACACAAGAAGAAAAAATTGTTACATTTATATTACAACACAATATGAAATCTATCTATATCAATCAATCTATCTATCTATCTATAGTGGGTATACCCCCCTTTAAATTAATCACATTTTGCAGCCTGAAATAAAAATGGGCAAAGTTTTTGTTTTATCCAGCTGTATTTACTCAGTGCAACTTATAACACTCAAGTGAAAGATATAACACCAACATGTCAGAAAAAAAACAGAATCACTAAGTTGGAAAAAGGTTCACCCCCCCCTCTCCTAAAACATGACTTATAAACTCAATAAGGTGTAGCTAATCACCTTCTCAATGGAACACAAAGCCATTTGACTTTCAACTGTGATCAGCTGTGGTCATTTTGATCATGAAAAGAGCTTTCCTGGAGCATTTCAGTTCTTGGTAGTGCAACTGAAGCAAACAATCAACTATGGGTGGCAAGGCACTGTCAAAAGATCTCCGGGATAAAGTTGTGGACAGGCACAAATCAGGAGATGGATACAAAAAAATGTCAAAGGCTTTATCAATGCACTTTATCACAGTGAAGTCTATTATTAAGAAGTGGAAGGTATTTGGTACAACACAGACCCTCCCTGGATCAGGACATCGCTCCAAACTGGATGAAAGAGCCAGGAATAAACTGGTCAGAGAGGCTAGCAAGAGGCCTACAGCGACTCTGAAGCAGCTGCAGGAATTTATGACAAAGAGTGGTCATTGTGTGTGTGTGACAACAATATCACAAATTCTCCACAAAGGTGGCTTGTATGGGAGGATTGCAAGAAAAAAAGCCACTCCTCAAGAAAGGCCACATGCAGGGTTGAGGTGAAGTAAAGGAGCAGTAGGTGTGAGACATGCTTTGACATGAGCAAATCCACCAACCAGAGAACTCTATGTCACAAACACAAGAAGAAAAAATTGTTACATTTATATTACAACACAATATGAAATCTATCTATATCAATCAATCTATCTATCTATCTATAGTGGGTATACCCCCCTTTAAATTAATCACATTTTGCAGCCTGAAATAAAAATGGGCAAAGTTTTTGTTTTATCCAGCTGTATTTACTCAGTGCAACTTATAACACTCAAGTGAAAGATATAACACCAACATGTCAGAAAAAAAACAGAATCACTAAGTTGGAAAAAGGTTCACCCCCCCCTCTCCTAAAACATGACTTATAAACTCAATAAGGTGTAGCTAATCACCTTCTCAATGGAACACAAAGCCATTTGACTTTCAACTGTGATCAGCTGTGGTCATTTTGATCATGAAAAGAGCTTTCCTGGAGCATTTCAGTTCTTGGTAGTGCAACTGAAGCAAACAATCAACTATGGGTGGCAAGGCACTGTCAAAAGATCTCCGGGATAAAGTTGTGGACAGGCACAAATCAGGAGATGGATACAAAAAAATGTCAAAGGCTTTATCAATGCACTTTATCACAGTGAAGTCTATTATTAAGAAGTGGAAGGTATTTGGTACAACACAGACCCTCCCTGGATCAGGACATC